GAGAAGGAATTGAAATCATTGTCTGGAATCAGAAGGTACAGTTTTCCCAGTATATAGCATGATTCCGCTTTGACCAGGTGGTCACCATGCTGACATATGCTGTAATTTCTGTTTTAAAACACAAAAAGAAATGAAGGCTTTAATAGCACTGTGAGGCTGTGAGATAGGAAATGGGAAATAAGATGCTCCTGCTGCTGTTGGGGCCTCAAGTTGTTCCTGAAATGTAATTGTGACATCTCCTGAGGACATGGTGTGCTACAGAATAATACAGGTGCTGGTATTTCAGTTGGCAAAGCTCCCGCCTCTGCCTTAGACTCTTTCTCCTGACACCCAGGCTCTAGACAGTGATGACTAAATATTGCTCTGCATGGTCATTTGTCTGAAACAAACAAACAAACAAACAAACAAACAAACAAAAAACTAGCTTTAGAACTGTACCTGCTTTATGGTTCAGCAATTGTCTAGCCATCAAGAGATCTACTAAGGAAAAAAATTACTTAGCAAAATCAAATTTCAAGTCAGTATCATTCACCATAAAGAAAACCACAAATTCAGCAAAAGGAAAAACAAAACTGAAATTCACTATCAAAGCTAAATATTGTACCTTAGGCCAATTGTAACCTCTAATTCATTGGAAGTTTAATAATCTCCTTTATGTCTCATTAAATCTGAAGTTAAGTGGCTAGCAAAAGATCTTGTCTTGTTAGATTTTTCTTTCCTTACAGATTAAATTCTTACAAATAGAGGTGAGTTACTGGTTTAAATGTTTCCCACAGCTGGATTCAGAAAACCACTGTTTTATTAGTCCTAGACTGGAAAAAGTAAGTTCTTGTGAGGAGGAGGAGGAAACCAGCCTCACAGTGGGTGGGGTGGGGAGAGCAGGAGGGATGAGTGGTTAGGAGGATATGGCTCAGATAGGAGCAACCAGTTTGCCTAAACCCCAAATCAGAGGCATGGGTAGGAAGAACCCAGCCAGACTTTGAATTTCCCCAATGGTTCCACCTAATAATTCCGTTTTGCCTTAGGAAGATACAAACTTTCAGAAACAAATACTTATTGAGCACTTCCAGTGTGCAAAATAGAGAGACAGAGGCAATAAAAATAAGGAGAAAATATGTACAAAATGAGAGTGACCACTTAGAAGGCCATGATTGTGAAAGAAATGGGACTAAAGCCACTCTTTTTTATTTCTATTGGATGTAACTTTATTAAGTTAATTAGTTTTAATTAATAAATTCTATATGTATATTTATATATTTTTAAACAAGCCATTAATTTGAATTAGCCTTTATGTGATATCATTTAATATATCACAAAGTGCAGTTATTATGAAAAATGGTTCTGGATTTAGCTTCAAATTAATCCCCTTACTAAAGCCAAAGCCAGGTGCTGCTAAGAAAATCACATCTGTCATGGCCCTCTTTGGGTCCTCTATTCTTTGTGTCCACAGCTGGTACCATGACATTTGCTGATCTGTATTATTCCCTGTCACATGATATCTTGAGTGGCCCCTTTTTAACATTAAACATTTGGGGGAATCATGTAATACTTGATTGAGTTATTTGTTGACAGAAGAAATATATATTTATATTTATATAAAGCCATTGTGAAATCAGTATGCTTTCCTCGATCACAATAATAACATACATTTGACAGCAATAGAAAAAAAAAGAAAGTAGTAGAGAATATATGGGTGAGATGTATTTTTGACTTGGCTTAATGATCAGATTGGGGAGCATGCCGATCCATAGACCACTTTACAGTAATGTCAGGCTCCAAGGGTGAACACTGCAAGGTTTTGAGTTAGAGAGTACATTAGCTGGGTGCCTAGGGAAGATTTCATTGGTGAGGCTGCATTTGAACATTGTGCTGCCAGTTCTTACTATTTCTAAAGTTTGTACCATGAGAATGTAGCTGAAGGTGTCATATTGTCAGATTGCTGAACAGGACATAGAAGCTGTCACTTCTTTATAGTGGCGCTTGGGAAAAAGATGGCTGTTCTACTGGCCAAATGTGACTTTAGCTGGCATTAGAATTTGAGTGACTAGAGGAGTTTCTCCATCTGGAACTCTGGTATGCTTATACTAATCTTTTTCTAAGCAGAATTTGCACCCAATATTGGCTTCCTATTCTTTAAAGCAGGACCTCCTGCCCCCGTCATATTCATAATTAGCCTGCGAGGAAGGTCTAGTAAAAAGAACCCAATATAAAATGTATTGCTTAAGATGTGATGGAGCTCTTTCCCTGAGGCTGAGAGTAATAGATTCCTTGGGGTCATTGTCTGGTTCATGCTGAGGACCTTCCAGCGTCACTGGACGTTCCATGTGACACTCTCCCCTGCCACAAGCTGGTTGGTACAAGGTGCGTATGTGACACCAAAAAATTGTTTTAATTTTTTTACCTGGAAATTTAAAATTTGGATCTGGGAGAGACACAGAGCTGAGTCACATTGATGACGGCTTTCTAAAGAGGAGGCCATGGACCTTAACTCATCCTTCAGCTCCATGGGCTACTTCAATATCTTCCCAATAACTACCTACCTTTTTAAATTTTCTTGAGCTAAGCGGAAGTGGGTTCTGTTATTTGCAACCCAAAGAACTTTAGTTATATAAGTGTATGGGGTCAGGGAAGTGAATTATCTTGTGTTGGGTTCTATGTTAAATCCATTGAAAAGTTTAAGGATTCTTAAAACTGAGAGTTGCCGCCCATATATGGATTATGAAATCGTGGGATTTAGACTAACCCAGCGGGAAGCTGAATAAATAATAATTTATGACGAATCTTGTGTTTTTTAGAGGTGGATGGGGAATAACTGTTTTTCCTTTTGCCACTCCCACTACATAAAACTTTCCCATGTGCAGAAAGTTCTTTTCACTGACCCCATGGAAAGCTCATCTCATGTTTTGGCTTCATTAGACCTCACCAAGTTTGTCTGGCTTAATACCACTTTTAAAGGAGCAGTGCTTTCTATTTCCTTCCCTAACCCATCAGGAGTGTTTTTAAAAGGAATGAATTAAAAAGTGCCCTATTTCAAGCACTAATCTTTGTTAGTAAATGTAAAAAATAGAAGTGTTATTTTTTTAAAAGGAATATACATTCACATATTATAATAATACCAATAAGGTAAAAATAAAAACAAATATTTATGTTAGGAGATTTAAAAGGAAATAGAATAAAGTTCTAGTACCTATTTGAGGCAGTAGAGGACTTACAGATGCTCCCTTCCCCATCATTTTCTCCAATTTCCCAGACTTTCCAGAATGTGGTATCATGGTGTCTATAATAATTTTTGAAAACATAAGAACATAGGGAGAATAAACAAATAAACCTAACCCACTCTATGATTAAAAAACTAAGGGAGAAATGGAGGAAAAAAAGGGAGGAAGGAAGACAAGAAGAAAGGGGAGGAGAGAGAAAGGGGGAGAGGAAAGAGGGAAGGAAGGAAGGAAAGAAGGAGTCAAATCAGATATTTTTAAGTATTGTCACATTGTCAGAAAAAAAAAAAAACCTGGTAAAACAGTCTTGAGAAACTTTAAACCTTGACTTCTGTTCTTGAAACACTGGAAGATTTTTGTGTTTATTTTTAGTTTATGTATGACTGAGTCATATTTGTATCAACATTTGAAAAATGGAATAGAAACTAATGCACCTTTTTCTTCAGTGTAACTGTTTTCAAAGCTTGATCTGCCCTAGGGATGAAGCAGTCTCTGACTGCTACAGGTTTTAAATTTCAAGGTTATTGGACAGAGTGGTCTACTTTATTTATTTGTTTAAAATAAGTTATATGAACCACAAAGATACACAAGAGTAACCCCTTCTAGATTCAAAAAATTGGTATTAATAAGGAACCTTTTTAAAAGTATAGTTGACATACAATATTATATTAGTTTAAGCACAGTTTATAACATAGTAATTCAAGTTTTTATGCTATGCTATCCTTACCACAAGTGTAGCTACCATCTGTCACCATATGATGCTATTACAATACCACTGACTATATTCTGTGTGCTGTACCTTTCATCCCTGGGACCTATTTATTTCACGACTGGAAGCCCATATCTCCTTCTCCCCTTCACCCCTTTTGCCCATTCCCCAACCCCTCCAGCAACCCTCAATTTGTTGAAAACAGCAGCTGAAAGCTTATCGTTAGAATCCACAGATTTCCTCCTTAATCGTCAGTGCCAGGTTGGGAAATTAATATCCAAATCATGTAGCTCTTACATATAAAATAGGGAAGAGTTGAGGACCAATAATTAAGGTTAAAATGGAATGCACACGATAACCTGTTGCACTATCTGGAGAGAAGAAATGCATAACAGTAGGAAGCTATAAAAGCACCATCCTGGGAGGTGAATCTCTGGTCTGTAATCTGGGTGAGCATAAATTGTTCCAATTCCATTCATTACCATCCTTTTAAGAGCACTCCAAATCAGTACATCATTCCTGTGGATGAATCAAATGGGCAGAATGGTTGTAAAATACTTTGGCTAATATGGATGATGACAAGAGAAGGGTGTAGTACCATTAGGTCCCCAATATCCACAGAATAGAACAAATATTTAATAATTACTATGACCAGTGGAGTACCATGTGTCTCCATTCTGGTCAGAGCTCGTATTTTTGTTTTTGTTGAAGTTCGCATCATAGCAAGAGTGTTTATAGAACACCTATAAAGCTCTTTCAGCAACTGGAAAAAATATTCTGAATTAAGCATGGGGCTAGTGTAATCAAGATCACAATTTTGATCTCCATATAGGCCAATTAAATAAAACAGTCTAGTTCACATTTATAAACTGAAGCCCCAACTGAGATTGGCCTGTTAAGCAATGTGCATCACTAGACATAAGATGACTGGGCTCCAGAATGTTTATGTCATGTTTACCTGTCACAATTACTGGCAAAAGCAACACAAAGACTTTGGCCTTATATTTGAAGGACATCACATTATTAACAATATATTGAGAAAGTGCTAGACCTAGGTTCAAGCCCAGGCCACTTACCACCCATATGACTGTGGGCTCTTGAACCATCGTTGTTCCATCTGGAAAATAGGAAAAAAGAGTAATAGCTTTCTTCTTTTTATTACAAGGGTATTGTGGAGAATAAATGAAACAATGAATAAGAAAGTGTTTATACAAGTAGAAGATACTATTAATATTTATAGCCTAAATGCTCAGAGATTTTTTAAGAGTTGCTGTTACATGTTTGGTTTGTTTTCCCCTGGGATAACTTTAAAAAATGTGGACTGCATTTCTGTTATGATGGCATTTAGACCTCTGCTTCATCAAAGTCAGGGACAAACTTTCATAAATCCTTCTTTTTTATTGGAACAGAAACCCCATATGTCTCCAGTGGCACATTATCACCAACAAATACTCAGCAATGATGAATGATCGTGAGGCAAAGTTGATGGCCACTGCATAATTATCCTTCCACATAAATTACATTAAAAACAACATTGTATAACACCTGCAAGACAAGACTGGCTTTTAGGGAAGTTATTTGTAGTTTAGAGGGTGGAAAGTAAAAGAGACGGGCTTAGCATACACACTGCCTCCCAACGAGCTGTAAAACAACAAGGAAAAGTAGGGGTGAGCATTGCTTTGCTTTCTGTCTTACACCCACCCTTCATCCTGCACAGCTGAGATGTAAATATTAAAACCACAAACACACAGAAGCTCTTAATTGTCCTCCTTCCACTGAAGTAGGCTTTAGTTTAAAGTCACACAAGATCTCAGAAATTATCTTTTTAAAAAATTAGTGCAGAAAGAAGCATTTTGGTGACCTGTGGGGAAGGTGGGAGGGAGCAATGTGTATCTTCTTATATATCCATACCTTAAACTTTGATGCTATTGAGTGAATTCCTCAACAATTTAAATATTGAGGGGGAAATGTCATGTTTAGCGAGAAATAAAGGATACAACACATTTTGACCAATGACTGATAATAGAAAAGGAGAAAAATCTCAGTGGACTGGAAAGGTAAGGTTCAAAATCAGGCTAGGTTAAGGCTAAGCCACAAAGACCAGCCTCAAAGCACTTAAGTCTTTGCAGAGCCTCAGGGTACCAGGTTGGAGTATCAGCATCCAGGTCACAAGAAAAGTGCTGCCTTGTGTTCTGATCAGGTCTGAGATATGTCAGGAAGAGGGAAAGCAGGTAAGGAAGGACAAGCAGGACAACTTCTCACTCCTGTAAGGTTTCATGCCAAATAGATCTTCCTCAGGCTTTTAAATAGAAAATGTTCTAGTGTCTTGAGATACAATGTGGAGTTCCTGCACAACTGCCATGTGAGGAAAAGAATGGGATTCTTGTTGAGGAAGGCACTGCGCCTCCTTTGGGGAAGGCTTCAGTTTTGATCCATTTCTCATGTGAGAGAAAAGGACACCCCTGCCTACTTTTTTTTTTTTTTCCCCCTGGGATACTATGCTCATCAAATCATCTGGTAGAGTCTGGGGAAAGATAAAGTGGGTATGAAAAATATTGATATAGGGGCACCTGGATGCTCAGTCAGTTAACGTCTGCCTTCAGCGTAGGTCATGATCTTGGGATCCTGGGATTGAGCTCCACGTCCAGCTCTCTGCTCAGCAGTGAGCCTGCTTCTCCCTCTCCCTCTGCCTCTGTGATCTCTCTCTCAAATAAATAAATAAAATATTTTTTAAAATATTGATATAGATGCTTACATAAGGATATACATTTATGGAATCCATGAGAATGCCTGCTAACATCTAATGGCCATCAATAATGAAGAAAATATTGCATATGCTTGCTTTGGCATTTTCTGTTCTCAGTTTTTTTGTCTTAGTGAATTAATGGCTGATATTTTTACAGAGGTTTGTTAGGCTATCTCACAATGACAGTTATGCTTGTGGTTATTTCCCAGAGCTTAGATTGATAGCTAAGTCATTAAAAAAATCATAAAGCTCTTTTAAAATTATTTTTCAGGTAGCTCCACTATAAGCATGATTTAATACCGTGTTTTTTTATGGCTTTTAGCTATTATATATATATATATATATATATATATATATATATATATATACACACACACACACACACATACAGACATATATATATATATAAATGAAAATAGTATAATTTTATATGAAAGTAGTATCGGGGTTTTTTCTAGAATGAGGTTAGGAACTGGATATTATTTGATGGTATTTAGCTAGAGGATGCCTCTTCCCATGTGGTTCTCAAGGGAATCACTCACAAAAAGAATAACATTAAATAAGAAATGGCATATTTGCTTTTTAAAAAACTTTTTGAATCTGATCTAAGCATGATACCACCACCTACTCTCCTCAAACATGAAAGAGGTTTGGCAGTGTAGTACAAAGGATTCAGGTAACTTCAGAGACTAATAAAAGAAATAGTTTATTAGTGACAGTTCTCAAGGCCATGGTCCCAGAGAGTAAGAAAATATTAAAACAAGCCTCAAGATAGACTTGTGTAAGTGTACTTTCCAGCTTCTTCCTATGTATGCTGTGTATAGATAGGGGTGGAAATATACATATAATAAATTGTATAGTAAATGGCTATGATAGAGGGGTAAAAACCTAGACTCTAGGATCGTATGCTTTTGATCCCAACCAAAGTAGCATTCCTTGTTATGAGATGTCCATGCTCCTAATGTGTGGCTTATGCTAGAGGCCAAAGTGCAGCTTTGACTTCTGCAGAATTCTAAAAATTGAAGATCTGCCCTCCTCACCTCTGGATAGCTATGTGTACAGGAACCTCCCACTGCATCACTGAAGCAATGATCAGTCAGCCTCAGGAGCATGCAAAAAAAAATGGCTGCTGGCTTCTAAGATAAGCCATGGTGACTTAATTGATCTTCCTACATGGGCTTCACTGAATGTCTAAAAGTAACCTTAACAGTAACATGTCCAAAACAGGGGTCTCCATATCCAACCCCCATTTTATTTATTTATTTATTCGTTCATTCATTCATTTAATTATTTTTATTTTTAAAGATATTTATTTATTTATTTATTTGTCAGCGATACAGTGAGAGAGAGAGAGAGCACAAGTAGGCAGAGAGGTGGGCAGAGGCAGAGGGAGAAGCAGGCTCCCCATTGAGCAACCAGTCTGATAGGATCCCTGGCCCAAGGATCATGACCAGAGCCGAAGGCAGATGCTTAACTGACTAAGCCACGCAGGTATCCCTATTTATTTTTTTTAAGATTTATTTTTTAAAGAGAGAGCTGGGAGAGGGGCAGAGGGAGAAGGAAAGGCAGATAATCTCAAGGAGACTCCATGCTGAGCATGGAGCCAGACCTGGGTCTTGATCTCACAAACCTTAAATCATGACTTGAGTGGAAACCAAGAGTCAAAGGCTTAATGGACTGAGCCACCTAAGTGCCCCTCCAGCCTCTATTTTAAACCTCCATATCCCCAAGTCTTTCTTATATGGGTTAATAGTACCCAATTGCTGGGACGCCTGGGTGGCTCAGTTGGTTAAGCAGCTGCCTTCGGCTCAGGTCATGATCCCGGTGTCCTGGGATCAAGTCCCGCATCGGGCTCCTTGCTCAGTGGGGAGCCTGCTTCTCCCTCTGCCTCTGCCCACCTCTCTGCCTACTTGTGCTCTCTCTCTCTCTCTCTCTCTCTAGTAAATAAATAAAATCTTTAAAAAAAAAATAGTACCCAATTGCTTAGGCTAAAAATCTGATTCACCCTAAATTCCTCCTTTTTTCTACTCCCATTCACAATATCTGGTCTTTCAAGAAGGCCTTTTGATTTTACTGCCAGCACCTCCTGAATCCATACCCTTCTCACTGTTCTTACGCTACTACAGTAGTCTAGGCCTCTATAGTTTCTGCCGGGATTACTGGGACAGTGTTGTAACTTTGGCCCTGCCTCCATTCTTGCTTTATTGCAGTCATTCCCAGCTCCAAAACTAGAGTCAGGGTTTAAAATGTAAATCGATTCATATCCTTTCCTGTGAAAAATCTTCTTTGGGCTTCCCACTGCATTTAGAATAAAATCTCAACCTCCTGGCCAGCCTGCCATTATGGTCCTCATGGTTCTTCATAGTGGCTGTCTGCTTCTTGCACCTAGTTTTGACCACTCCCCACCCTGCCCTGTCTCTGCTCCAGTCTGTTTGGCTTTGCTCTATCTGATCTTTGTGTAACTGATTCCTTTTTATTAGGCTAAATTGACCCCTCCTTAAAGAGGCCTTTCCTGACACCTTAAACTAAATAAGTCACCTCCACCTCAGGCCCATTACTCCATTCTATTTTATCCTTAGCATTTTGAATCTGAGATTATCTCATTTGTTGAGATGTACTTATTATTACCTCCTGCTGCAATGGAAGTTCTAAGTCTAGTCATTGCCACATCCCCAGGGACTAAAATGGTGTCTGGCTTGCTCACTAAAGCAAACATTGTTTATTGAGGTTTTCAGTAAATAATGATTTAATAAATGAGTAATTTTGAAAAGTCATCCCTCCAAAGTCATGTTGCCCAATCAGTGTTCTACAATAGGACCAGTAGATTTGGCATCTCTGTCTTTTGGGAAGAATCAAGAAGGAAGGTGAGAGAGATGTGAGAATATGGATGAATGTTTTCCTCTCACTTTAGAAAAAGCAGTTAAAAAGCAAGTATTGAATTCCTGCTGTGTGTTAAGTAGCATGTGTTAGGTACTGTTACTGACATGTGAGTTACTAAGCATATTCTGTAGTGGGATGCGTGGGTGAGCAACACAATTCAACAAAAGGAGAATTAAGCTAATAAATACAATAGGAATTGAGAGGGAAAGATAAGTATGAAATGCAATAGTTGACTTAAGCTCGATGGAAAAAAAGAGGATTGTTCTTTGACACATGGAGGCAGAGAATCTGAAAAGGCAGAGAAGAGAAGTTCTTCCCAGGCAGAGGATGGGTCACAAATGAAGGAAAAGAGGAGGAAACAAATATTGGTTTAGGCCAGAGTTTGCCATTAGAAAGCCAGGAAGAGACTGGATTTGATTCTGCTCAAAGTATGCATATTTAGAATCAAGTATTTATAGAGTCTAAGAGAATTCAGACTGGACCTATAGAAA